TCGTGAAACCCCGCAACAGTGTTAACAGATTAATGCGCTTAGGGTTATAAAGTGTGAAACCCCGCAACTGTGTGATAATTAATTGTAGCCGTTATTTGTAGATTGTTAAATAAACCAATTAACCATCTCTACGGCGTCTTCAGTAACGCAAGACACGTTACACTGGTGTCAGAAGTGGGATCAGTAACGCAAACACGTTACAATATATATTAGTTATTTTAATATGAAGACGACAAGGCAAGCAATGAACTTGTTTAGCGTAAATCGAATAAGCACCTGAAGCACTTTTGTGCCGAAACATATAGTGCGAGTGAGAGGAGGGGATAGATGAGTGTATGCACTGGAAGACGGTTGAAATAAATCATGGACTTAAATCAGTGCAACAGGACGCTAAAATATAACATTACAAATCCTCTATAATTAGTGAGACTTTACATATCAGGAACATCATTTGATTTTGTAAGATTTAAGGTTCTCACAGAAGTGATTATGAAAAGTTCTGGGATATATTGCTCTGTAGTCTGCCAAAAGTTGACCAGCATCTAGGAAGAACATTTCCCCTCCATCTTCAGGGTCAAAGAATAAGCCGAGCAAGAAATCAGCATGAAGCAGGTAGAAAGAAGATCATTGCTTGCTTGGCTTATTTTTCAACCCTGAAGATGGAGGCAGCATGATCCTCCAAACCCTGGGTTGACTTTCAGTGGACAACACTGTGTTATATTCCAGAAGACAGAATGCTTCATCATTTGATGTGTATCTCCAAAAATATGGAAAAGAGCATGGTCTTGTGGCTAGACATCCAGGTACGCTGTAGTAGTTCTCATTTCATGCATCCTGTTGCATTACAGTATACAACCTCTTTATTACAACTGTCACAACACAGCAATATCAAGATCAGTGCCTAGTTTCGGCTCTGCTACACGTTTCGGCTAACAATAGCCATCATCAGGCAAATACACGGTTAACATATATGCACCACCGAACTGCAGTACTAATAAAATGGGATACAATACTATTAATTATATAAAACGCTTGATGTAAAAGTACAATAAATCGGATTATATAGAACAGAAGTTATAGTATAAAACAATAAAATTCTTAGATTGATGTTTTATATCATCGAATCAGTTGGTGGTTTTGTAATTTTGTTGCGTTCCCACGAACAAATTGGAATATTCTATATTTTGTGTATATGAAATTGTATAAGAGGCTCGTGATATAGATGTAGTAAATTGATGTTAATCTGAAAATGTTATGAAAGTAATAGTATTAAATTTTGTATAATCTACAGTTGATTTTGGTATTGAAGGTATAGTGTATATTACTTATTGTTTAGTCGGTGCCTCAACTTAAAAAGTATTGTCTGTTCTGTGGGGAATGTAAACAATGACAAGTTGCATGTATAAATACATGAACACTAAACTAACACTAAAGACCATCAATCAAAAATTAATTGTCACTCAATAATAGCAAAAGCCGATAAAGGCAACACGCTAGTCATTCTAATGAAATATGATTATATCAATAAACATTATAACTTCATTAACAGTAATAACTTCACTGATTTTTCACACGACATTACCAACAAAGTACAACAAATTACAAGGAAGTACATAAATAATTGTAAAAACATCATAAAACACAAAGATAAGTTGAAACTTATAAACATGAATTCCCGCCCACCACACATATACACCACTATTAAATTACATAAGCAGGGACAACCCATATGACCAATAGTTAATAGGACAAACTGCCCTGCATAAGTGGTGTGTTCAAAAAGTATCAAACCTTCTTTTTTCCCGCGTAAACCAGTGAAGCGCGGGAGGCTCCCTTCGGTGGAGATGTGGAGGGGACATTTATGTGCAGTCGTGAATTTTTTCCCGCCCACAGAAAGCGTCAGTCGCTGGCAGTCAGCCTATGAGTGAGGACGTGTAGTGAGCGCTCGTCAGATTCCAGTAAGGTGTAAAATGACGGAATAAAATGAGCAGCGATATTGCATCAGATTTTACCAAAAGCTTGGCGATACGCAAGTGGAAACCATTCACAAGATTCATCAGGCTTTCGGGGACGATGCCATGAGCAACTCACGGATAAAGGAGTGGTACAACCGCTTCAAAGATGGCCGCACATCAGTGGACAGTGAACCGCGTTCAGGCAGACCCTCAACAAGCCAAAATGAGAATGTCATTGAGCAAGTGTGGACTTTGGTCATGGAGGACCATCATATCACAGTCCGAGGGGTAAGCATTGGATCGGTACATTCAATTTTTACCTAGGATTTGGGCATGAGGAGAGTGTCCGCGAAATTCATACTGAAACTGCTAACAATGGAGCAGAAACAACGCTGTCTGGAACTCGCACAGGACATGCTGGACAATGCAAATGGTAACCCCAACTTTCTGAACACCGTGATCACAGGCGATGAGTCATGAGTTTATGGGTACGACCTGGAAACCCAGATGCAGTCGTTACAGTGGAAACATCTGACATCCCCGAGGCCAGAAGAGCACGGCAGGTCCACAGCAATGTCAAGGTCATGTTGGCTGTTTTCTTCGACTCCCGTGGGGATGTGCATCATGAGTATGCACCGCAAGGCCAAAGCATCACAAAGGAATACTACCAGGAGGTCCTTTGTCGCCTTCGTGATGCTGTGCAGTGCAAACGACCGTATGTGTGGGCAGCAAAATCTTGGCAGCTCCATCATGATAACGCACCCGCCCATTCTGCGCATCTGATTCAGACTTTCGTCACCAAACACAACATCCCTGTGGTTCGTCAGGCTCCCTACTCCCCCTGACAGGCTCCCTACTCCCCCTGACATGGCTCCGTGTAACTTTGGCTATTTCCCAAGCTGAAAATGCCGCTGAAAGGAACCCAATTTGAGTCAAGAGAAGACATCATGCGGAATGTGATGGCCCGGTTGATCACCATTCCAAAAGACGCGTTCCAGAAGTGTTTTCAACAATGGCGGAAGCACTGGGAGAAGAGTGTGCATTACCAAGGAGACTACTTTGAAGGGGATTATGGTTTTGTACCTCCAAATCAATAAGTGTATTTCTGCCGACCAAAGATTCAATATTTTTTTAACACACCATGTATAATGTAACTAAATACTTAAACACAATATTAACAAATACATTACAACTATGATGTGTATGTATTGACCATCTTCTAGTGCACATTATCTCACTTTACTTCACTTCACTACATTTTTCGGCATCACTTTGCCCTCCTCAGGTGTGTTATTTATGTTAAACTATTGCACTGCTTGCCATCATGTGTCGTTTATAAAATGATTTAAAATGTATATTCGTCATGTACTATAATAAAATTTATATATTAAAATTTGTTAAGATTTATCATCTTATACGTCGTATTTGAAACTTGCATATTATATCATTCTTCCGCTATGGGAATCGTTCTTCCTTTATTTTGTGTACACTGTGTCTTGTGATGTGTCCTTCTTTTGTGGCTGCCTGCATTGTAATGCATCCACACACATCCAACGCACGCAGCCACAAAAGAAGGACACATTACAAGACACAGTATACACAAAATATAGGAAGAACGACTCCCATAATGGAAGAATAATAGTGTGACATGTTGACCCCTACCTCCCCAGCTGCACGTAGCGGTAACGTAACGCTCGCGTAATAGGCGAATAATCACCCCGCATCCTGGCAGCTATGCGCGGTGACGTCACGAGCGGAGCCGAAGAGAGCCTAGCGGAGCCGAAGATAGCCGAGCCCCCGCAACCTGGTAACTATGCTAGGCGAGTCATCACCCCACCACTCTCCCCGCGGTGACGTCACCAAGGGATATCGNCAGTACGTGAAGACAAGTGAAGATTGTGTTAAGAGATTTTGTTGTAGGGTTTGTAAAGTGTGGAAACCCGTAATATTGTGATCATTAATTATAGCCGTTGTTTGTAGATTGTTAAATAAACCAATTAACCATCTCTACGGCGTATTCAGTAACGTAAACACGTTACAATATAATACGTGAGTTTGAAATACGATGTATGAGATGATAAATCTTAACAAATGTTAATATATAAATTTTATTATAGTACATGATGAATATACATTTTAAATCATTTTATAAACGACACATGATGGTGAGCAGTGCAATAGTTTAACATAAATAACACACCTGAGGATGGCACAGTGATGCCGAAACATGTAGTGAAGTTTGAAATACGATGTATGAGATGATAAATCTTAACAAATTTTAATATATAAATTTTATTATAGTACATGATGAATATACATTTTAAATCATTTTATAAACGACACATGATGGTGAGCAGTGCAATAGTTTAACATAAATAACACACCTGAGGATGGCACAGTGATGCCGAAACATGTAGTGAAGTGACAAGTGAGATTGTGTGCACTAGAAGACGGTCAATACATACACATCATGGACGTGAATCAGTGCAACAGGACGCTAAAATACAACAACATTACAACTACCTAATGCTTTTATCGTGAAAAACACTAGTACACTAGCACAATGATTACAACTCATTGAAATAAATAACAATACACAAATGTGTTCTTTCGATATCGAAAATATGTATACCAATATTCCCACAAAAGAACTTTTCAATATTGTTGAAAATATTATAGTTAAGAATTAAAGTATTTCACATGAAACAAAAATTGAAATTAATAAATAACCTGCTAAAGATAATGTTAGAACAAAATTATATCGAACATAATTGCAAATGGTTTAAACAAAATGAAGGTCTTGCCATGGGAGCACCAATTTCAGCAATTTTTGACGGGGTATTTATAAAATACCTCGGACATACAACTATCATTGATATTTTGATGAAATATCAAATAATAGATTATTGGAGATACGTTGACAATATTTTAATCATTTATAATTCCCATATAACTAACACTGAAAGTACATTGTATGAATTCAACAATATTTACCCTAATATCAAATTCACAATAGAAAAAGAAACAAATAATAAGATCAGTTTCTTAGATTTATCCATCGAAAAAACACACGAAAACCTACAACTAGGAATCCATCAAAAACCTACAACTACTGATCAACAGTGAGTCATGTCACCCATGTGAACACAAAAGAGCTGCTATAAACGTTCTCATTAATCGATTGAATCAATATCCCCTTTTGCATAACAATAAAAACATAGAAGAAAACATTGTTAGAACTGTTCTAAATAATAAAATAAATACCATACAGCTAACACAAAAAACCCGCCACAAAAATACTATGCTGAAAAATAAATGGACCACCTTTACCTATTTCGGCCATGAAATCAGGTCTATTACTAAACTTTTCAAGAATACTGAAGTTGGTATCTCATGCAAGACAAAAAAAAAAAGAAAAAAAAAATTGTAAAACATCTGTTGGAAATAAATGATGACAAAAATGATATGTATAATCTTAGTGGGGTTTACCAACCACAATGTTCAGACTGTCCATTAAAATATATAGGACAGACCAGATGTCCCTTTAAGGTCAGATTGAAAGAACATATACGAGACATAAAAAATACGGACAAAGCTCCAGATTTGCTCAACATATATTGGACACCACACATGAATATAGTACGATAGACAAAACATTAGAAGTTCTATATATCGGCAAGAAGGGCTGAACTTTGGATACGTATGAAAGATTTCACATTTATGAAATCAGCAAACTAAATTTGCAACCAAATGATAATTTTACCAAAATGTTTAACCCTTTATATGATGTAATAATTGATACATACAAAACATAATATACATTATAACCCCTTCCCCCCTACCACCACTTCTGCATACACCTTATTTCTACCTTCCCCTTCCCTCCCCTGCATTGATTTTAATCTTACATCACCAAATCAGTCATTGTTTACATTCCGTACAAAACGGACAATACTTTGTAAGATGAGGCACCGACTGAACAATAAGTAATATACACTATATCATCAATACCAAAATCAATTGTTGATTATACAAAATTTAATACTATTACTTTCATATCATTTTCAGATTAACATTAATTTACTACCTCTACATCATGAGCCTCTTATACAATTTTATTTACACAAAATATAGAATATTCCAATGTGTCACTGGGAACGCAACAAAATTACAAAACCACCGACTGATTTGATGATATAAAACATCAATCTAAGAATTTTATTCTTGTTTTATACTATAATTTCTGTTCTATATAATCTGATTTATTGTATTTTTACGTCAAGTGTTTTATATAATTAATAGTATTGTATCCCATTTTACTAGTACTGCAGCTCGGTGGTGTATATATGTTAACCGTGTATTTGCCTGATGATGGCTATTGATAGCTGAAACATGTAGCAGAGCCGAAACTAGGCACTGATCTTGATTTTTGTTGTGTTGTGACAGTTGTAATAAAGAGGTTGTACACTGTAGCAGGTTAATATCTGATAATGTCCTGTATCCATTTGGCCTAACTTTTTCACATTTTACTTGTTGGATCTAGCCAACCTGCCACCAACACTTTCCAAATCACAAGTTAGTTCTGTGAGAAAGCACTTGAAGATGCAGTTGCTGAATCTACTGAAACATCCATCGTCAGTGGATTACCACAATAATATCACCACATTGCTTACTGACTTGGGTGCTACATATCAAGAGGTATGTAGGTTGTAGAGTTTCTGTGATTATTTGTGTCCCCATGTGTGTGCACACATGCATGTGTATGTGCATTTAGGTGGGCAGGTGCTTGTGTGTATATTCCTGTCTCCCATTTTTGGGGGGGTTTCTGCATCTGGTTTCTGCCAGGAAATGTATAAGGTTCGATATATAGAGCAGTCTGTATCCAATGCTCTTCTTTACCATCTTCATGGGGCATACCATATTAAAAGGAAACTTGCATTGGCATATGTAAAAAAAAGTATGTTGAAAATCATATATGTAAGCTGAAGTTCTTGCATTTCAGATGATTACAGCTAGTCATGCTATGTTATATGTTGTCTCACACTAGGTACCTGTATATGCTTTGTATGACGGTTCAAATCTGGTACTTGGCATGAGCCAGTTTTTAAATTACATCAGTTTTGCCAGCACTTGCATGCTTGAATTAGTACCAATCTAATGAGATATTTGGTACAGGTAGACATTATTGTTTATATCCTAATAGATGAACGTGAAGAATATATATAAAACAGATTATCAAACAGTAAGATTATAAATTTGATTAATAAATTTACTTTTCCTGTACAGATGTGTTTCCTAGTGAAGGGGCATGTTACTCCTGGAATTGTCTTCCATTTGAGTAAATACAGTAGTGCCCTATCTCTGTACTAGCTCTATCAATTGGGCCCAACCGAGTATGTTTTACCTGAAGATGAAGACAGAATCCAGTCTCCAAAACGTTGTGTTTTTTTGAAAAATAAACAAGACAATTTTTAGATAAAGACAAGGCGATGGATAATGTCCAAAAGCATAATATTTGTGCTAATGTACCATTGCCAAACATTGTGACTGATATACTCATAATATCATTCAAAATCCAGGTCAGTCCAGTAAACATAACTGAAATGACAGTTTTTTTTATTCAGTCCTAAGATCTATTTGTCATTAACACTTTGCGGACTGGCGATTTAAATATTTAAATCACCCTGGGGACCACCATTATTAAACCTAATATCCTAACTTGTGCACTGTTCACTTTAACACTTCACAGACCGGTGATTTAAGTATTTAAATCACCCTGGGGACCACCATTATTAAACCTAATATCCTAACTTGTGCACTGTTCACTTTAAAAATTAATATAAAATTTTCTAATTAATTTTATGAACTAAAATTGTTGGAGAACACTTTCCAATGCTCCTAGAAGTGCTTGAGAATGTGATATTTCTGGAAACATTCACCCTTGTGAAGTGGCATTATAGAGAACTTGAAAATGTAGACATGCTCCTTTTTTTGTGAACTGTGGAAACACGGCATTGCCTAGAAAGATGCTTCCCCTTGGAATATTCACTCTTCACAATTTTCACGAGGGTATGTTTCTGCATATCACCTGAGAGTCGCCCTGTGGGATCCACATGATGCTTGTGTGGGGTGGGATTGGATGGGCATGGTCGCACTAAGTCTGTGTGTGAATCCGGTTCTGCTGCCACCATCTGGTCTGTAGCCCAGGGCTTTGCCACATTCATCAGAAATGCTTTGTATTTCAATTTCGAATCAGGGTTTAGATTTTTGTGATTTTTTAAATATTTTACTCTCCCTGCAATGTTAGTCACCGCAGTGTTATTACCCCCATTATTGTTGGAGCTACGGTCACTTTTACTGTCTGTGGCCACGAGTGGCCACAATTCTTTGCTCTCCCATGTCATTGCTGCTCTCTCAAACACCATAGCTACGCATCTCACAAGGCAGGTCAGCTGGCTCATCGGAAAAGAATTTGTCCTTGTCCATACCCCACCACTAACTACTGGCTGATACATACAGCTTGAAGAGCAAGAAAGCATTATCGCTTAAGAAAACAGCGAGGTAAACTTACTGACAAATAAGCGAATATTCCAGAGTTTCATTACACCATTGTGTGCAACTTGGGTGGCGCCAGAGAGATGTATAGTGTGTTGCAACTTATCATGTTTTAAATACCTGTTAACAGGCGAACGGTCTGCCATGTATAAAAGCGAAAAACCTTTTATAGGGTGTGCGGTCCGCAAAGTGTTAAAAATTAATGTAAAATCTCCCAATTAATTTTATGAACTAAAATTTATGGAGAGCACTTACCAATGCTCCTAGAAGTGCTTGAGAGTGAGATATTTTTGGAAACATTCCTCTTTGTGAAGTGGCATTACACAGAACTTGCAATGTAGACATATTCCTTTTTTTTGTGAACTGTGCAAACACGGCATTGCCTAGAAGGATGCTTCCGCTTGGAATGCTCACTCCTCACAATTTTCATGAGGGTATGTTTCCGCATATCACCCGAGAGTTGCCCTGGGAGGTCCACATGAGGCCCGAGTGGGGTGGCAGTTGATGGGCCCGGTAGCACTAAGTCTGTGTCTGACTCTGGTTCTGCTGCCACCATCTGGTCTGTAGCCCAGGCCTTTGCCACATTCATCAGAAATGCTTTGTATTTCAATTTCGAATCAGGGTTTAGATTTTTTGATTTTTTTTTTAGATTTTTTGCTGCCCCCACATTGATCCTACCTGCATTTTCGTTAGAGCTACTGTCACTTTTACTGTCTGTGGCCACAATTCTTTGTTGTCCCCTGTCACTGCTACTGTCTGAGTCACCATGACTACGTGTCTCACAAGGCTCGTAAGCTAGCTCATCGGAGAAGAATTTGTCCATGATCCATACCCCACCACTAACTACTGGCTGATACATACAACTTGAAGACTGGCAAAGCATTTTCCTTTATAGTGGGTTAAGAAAACAGCAAGGTCATGTTACTGAATACTAAGCAAACATTTGGGAGTTTTACTACACAGCTGCGTGGTGCCAGAGCACGGTATAGTGTGTTACAACCTAACGTGTCCTAAAATCGTGATATCATGTGACCGGTTCACCACATTTAAAAGAAAAAAGCATTATATCATGTGACGGGTCCTTTATGTTTTAAGAGGAAGATTCAACTGAACAGGTTTGTCTGGAGCAGCACCCCATGCTTGTATTCAGAAGGTGCCTAGTTCAAATTGAACACTAGGCAGTGGCTATCCTGACAATTTTCTTCTCGTTTTCCTTAGTCCCACAAGGTGAGATTTGGGATAGTACCATGATTAGGCAGCGGCTATATCTGTTCAGAACTTTTCCAGCTCCTCATTGAGATACCATCCAATGCTGAGTAGTCTTCAGTACTTAAAATGGTGTCATCAAATAAGCCTGGGGGCTGGAGGTAGAAAATTAGAACATGAATGTGTTTTCGTTCATTTAATACATGGGGTGTGGGTATGATGCAGAATTTGTAACATCAGCTAATAGATTTCATCTAGGTAACTATCAGGAGTCAGGATAGCTCTGTCAGTATAGTGACAGGCTACGTGCTGGATGGCCGGGGTTTGAATCCTGGCAGTGGCAAGAATTTTCTCTTCACAGTGTTCAGATCAGCTTTGGGCCCACCCAGCCACTTATCAAATGGTTACTATGGTCTCCTTCCCCCAGGGGGGTTAAAGCTGCTGAAGCGTGAAACTGACCACTCACCTTCATCTGGTGCCGAGGTTAAGAATGATGGAGCTATATCTTCACTCCCCCAAAATTTTTATTGACATAGTGCTTAACTATTCAATCACAGGGATAACTTTTATTTTTTTACCTAGGTAACTACAGTATCTGCTATTATTCAGTATTCTTACTTTGGTTTTCTCAGGCAACTTGTCACAGAGGATAATCATTACCAACTTTATTTAAACTGACCATGAAGCAGTACTGAAGAGTGGAATGTTTTAAAGTAAATTAATTGTACACTCTAAGTAATATATGAGATGCTGGAAGGCTGAAAGAAGATAGTGAAAAGTACATTGATCATAAAAATCTTTGAGAATGAGATGTCATGCACATGTGAGGATTGTTCTTTTACAGGTGCTGAAATCCTACCCAAAGATTGAGGAACTTCGAAGGCGCCAGAAGCGTGTGGCAGAAACCTTGTCATCTTCTCAGGCTGCAGTAAGTGCCAGCAAGAAATCACGATTGGATATAGATGATGATGATGAAGAGGAAGAGGAGGATGAAGAAGGAATGGATGATATTCATAGCACAGATGTACATCACAAGAAGCATACTGACCTGGCCATCGATGTTACAGAGCAGTTTATAGTTGAGCGACTGTCTCCAGAGTTTGCTGCTCAGCTTGTCATACTCTCTATGGTATGTGGGATTTCCTTAGAACATTTTTGTACTGGACCGCATTTAGGAAAGGTTGTACAAGAGTTATACATATTTATAAGTGAACCGTTCATGCCATAATCCAGTTGGGTGGTAAACTTTTGTAGCTTATGAGGGAAATTCTTAAATCGGGGTTCTCAGGAAACTAAAACTCAAAATGACAATTTAACTCCATGGAATAAAAATAAGCTATGCTCATATATATTCAATTCAATTCGTGTTTGTTTACATGCAAACTTAACAGCATAGAGGCCAATTACAAAGCTAGCATGAATAGAAAAATACACAAAAATAATTAAAAAACAAAATACAAAAATGATAGTCTATATTACTTACACAGTTAGCATGAATAAAGATACAGAAGCAAACATACACAGACAAAGACACAATGTGAGAATTTGAGTTTCAGATAGAGCAGCATACAATAATAGTAATGAAATTAATAATAGTAATAATAATGTAATTAATACAAATAATGATAATAATAATAATAATAATAATAATAACTCAATAATTATAATAATAACTCTATCAACATGAATCAAGCCTATCTTTGAGAAGTGAGAAAATTAAAGTATATACAATTTCAATTTGATTGGAGTAGACATGACAGCAATAAAATATTAAACAATTCAAGTTTTAATGGATTAATGTATAAATATTGTGACATGTTGACCCCTACCTCCCCCCCGCGGTGCGTGGCGGTGGCGTAACGCTCGCGTTCTTACGGTAATAGGCGAG